CCTTTCCTGGAGCTCACTTGGTAGCCCAGGCTGGCCTCGAACTCACAGAGATCCGCCTGGCTCTGCCTCCCGAGTGCTGGGATTAAAGGCGTGCGACACCACCGCCCAGCTTGCAAATGCTTTCTATCTTGATACTGGTGGCATTACTTTACTGTATTTTTCTCTCAAAATTCATTGACTTGAATATTTAAATGGTAAATTTTATTGCAGACATATTACATCTCGATCTTTCAAATTATATTATGTTAAAAACTCATGTTTTTTGCTTGGTGCATGGTGCATGCCTATAATCCCGGGACTTGGGAGGCTAGGGCAAAGGATCAAAAGCTCAAGGCTGGCCTGAACCTCACATCAAGACCCTGCCTCAAAAGAAAAAAAGGGCCCCATGTTCCTTACTTTTGTAATCAGCTGGTCACAGATGGACTTTAACTAGAGTCTTTGCAAAGCATATTAGCATTTGGTTTGAAGGCCTTTGAGATTACCGAGTCCAAAGAGAGACTATTTTCCTGAGACATTATGCTTTTACTTACCTATGCTCAGAAAAACCCATACTGTTGGTACTTACTTTGCACACTTCTTTCTGTACTGACGTTCAATGCCCTCAGGCCTTCACAGAAAATGGAAGTAAAAATTGAAAAGTTAAGAGCAAATCTCATAACCGATTAACCTCCTAGCTCATTTTTCCCATCGTTCATCACTTATCATAATTCATGCTAAAAGTTCAGAAGTTCTTCATTTCATAGATCTACTGGCTAGTTAAGCATATATTAAATTTATAACTCCAGCATGCATTCCTTCTTTCACAAGCATGTACTGAGCAACTAACAGGGTTGTGAGCAATTAATAATGCTAGCTATGCAGAGAAAAGGGCAGTAATATTAATAGTCAAAACAGTGATTGGACTTGTAGTATCAACAATAATAACCACAATAATATAGCAGCAGCTAATTATATAGTCAGCCCTTTGTATCCATGCTTTCTGAATCTGTGGAGTCCCCCAACCATGGATAGAACATGTTAGACAAAATTTGTGTCAGGGGCTGGGGAGCTAACTCAATGAGGAAGAGTGCTTGATCTGCCAGAACAAGGACTCAAGTTAGAATCCCCAGCAGCCACATAAAAAGCCAGCCATGGCTATGTATGCCTGTAACTTCAGGATTAGGAAGTCAGGACATGTAAATCCTGAGAGCTCACTGGCCAGCCAGCCTAGCTGAATGGCAAAGCTCTGGTTCAGTGAGAGACCCTGTCTCAAGGGATAAAATGGAGAGTGCCAGAGGAAGACACCCTAGCATGCAGCTGTAGACTCTGCATGTACACCCATGCACCCATGTGCATGCGAAACACACACACACACACCACAAAGTTGTATTAATACTGAAAATGCACATATTTTCTTGTCATTATCCCCTAAGCAATGCACTATTAATTATCTCATAGTGTTTCATTGGCTTGGGTATTATAAGTAATCTGGGCCTGCTGTTAGTCAAAACCCACTCCCAGTGACACACCTCCTCCAACCTCCTAATCCTTCCCAACAGTCCACCAACTGGGAACCAATCATTCAAATCTATAAGCCTATGGGAGGCGATTCTCATTCAAACCACCACACTGCCAAATTCTTCTCTGTAGAACTTGCACCAGTTTATACTAGCAGCGATGTATTGAGAGTTCTGTTTCTCTACCGCTTCACTTTTAGTGTATGCTAGTTAACTGCATCCCAGCCAGTTTCACATGTGAAAAATTAGATCTTCAAGGGTGCCATAGCATGTACCTATAATCATGGCTACTCAGGAGGCTGGGAAAGGAGGAACACAGTTTGAGAACCAACTGGGTAACATAGCAAGACTCAACTCCAAAACAAAGGGAAAAGAAAATGAGATCTGCCAATTTGTATTTCCTTTTTTAAAATGGGAGCTATACATCTTAGCACCAATATGACAGCCATTTGTGTCACAAATTTCTTTTTTTTCTGCCTTCTGAACTGTTAGCTCCTATCTTTCGAGTCACCATCTTCTTTTACATTAAGGAGACTTGCACTATTAATGGGCCTTGCAACTGTTTCTTTCTCAGTTCGTCATTTGTCTTTGATATTCTTTTGTTTTACAACGTGAAATTTTAGACTCTTCAGTAGTCACTACATTTCTATAGTCATAACTTCTTTCTCTCTTGCTCTCTGCCCATGTATGTTATAACATAGACAGGACTTCCTCAACATGAATTCCTATCTGAAATAAAAAATTCCAACCACTTATTCTAGAATCTGCTCCCACTAGTTTCTTCCTCCAAGTCACTCTCTGAACAGAGGCAGAAGTGGCTTCCCTGGTACCACCTAAGAACATAACTACTGGTTTCTGCAGCATCTTATATAGTCTCCCTCTTCCATATACACATTCCACTTCCATGGCCAAATCAGTCCTCCTTCTGTTTCAGCTCTTTAAAGAGAACATGTGCTTTCCAACAGCTGACTGTTTACACACACACGCTTCTCCCTCTACAAACCACGCTCTGCCCATCACATTGCTAAGGCGGTCTTTTGTCTACGCTGATGCCACTTCCTAAGGAACCTAGTCAGAGGCTATTCCCTGAACACATTCACTAAGAAGTTCTCGTGTGATTTTCTCTACCAACCCTTTGTTTCGTTCACATGGCTTTTAATAATTATAATTACCTGATTTTTCTACTTATTAATTTTCCATGATTTCCATCATCCATTCCCTGAGATCAGGCAGACTCTGAGCAAAATAAAAGAGATATCTTGGGGGGCTGGAGAGAGGGCTCAGCAGTTAAGAGCACTGGCTGCTCTTCCAAAGGACCTCTGTTTAATTCCCAGCACCCATATGGTGGTCCACAACTGTCTGTAACTCCAGCTTCAGGGATCCAATGCCTTCTTCTAGCCTCTGCAGGCTCCATGTACACATGTGGTAAACAAACATACATTCAAGCAAAATACTATACACATAAAATTAAAAGGACTGGACACTGAGAAGATGTACAATAAACAGTGAATAAATTCATCTTAGTAACGAAACTAAACTGATAATCAAGGAAACTTTTTCTGAGATAAGATCTTACTGAAGACCCCCAGGATGATCTAGAATTTACCTATGTAGCCCAGGCTGGCCTTAAACTCAAAGCAACCTTCCTGCCTCAGACTCCCACATGCTAGGATAACAGTTGTAAGCCACCACATCTGGCTAACGAAGTTTTTTGGGTGTTTTTTTTTTTTTTGAGACAGGGTCTCTCTGTCCTGGAACTCCCTCCGTAGACCAGGCTGGCCTTGAACTCGAGATCCACCTGCCTCTGCCTCCCGAGTGCTGGGATTAAAGGTGTATGCCACCACTGCCTGGCTGAAGTTAAGTTCTTTTTTTTATTTTCTAAAGAATATTTTTTAAACTTTATTTTATGTGCATTGGTGTGAAGGTGTCAGATCCCCTGGAACTGGAATTACAGACAGTTGTAAGCTGCCATGTGGGTTCTGAGAATTAAACTCAGGTCCTCTGGAAGAGCAGCCAGCGCTCTTAACCACTGGGCCATCTCTCCAGCTTCTGAAGTTAAGTTCCTAAGTGGAGGAAGTTGTAATGGTAAGGTAGCACCGCACTCTGTCTAGAGAGAGTCACAGAAGCTTCATGAAGAGGTGACAGAAAATAGGATTTCATGTAAATGAAATACTCCATGTATACATAGTAAATTCATGAAATTGCTATATAGAAAGAATTATTGCCTAATACCATTAGGACTTAAAACTCAAGGATTCCCTACCAATATCATACACACAAAAACACTGCCAGAGCGGGGGTGGTGGTGGTGGTGCACACCTTTAATCCCAGCACTCGGGAGGCAGAGGCAGGTGAATCTCTGTGAGTTCAAAGTTAGCCTGGTCTACAAAGCGAGTTCCAAGACAGCCAGGACTGTTACACAGAGAAACCCCATCTCAATCAATCAATCAATCAATCAATCAATCAATCAATCACTGTCAGGCTATTCTGTGAACAATTGTATACCAGTAAGTCAGATAACCCAGAAGTCCTAGAATGAAAAAGGATGACATGGATGGGTGTGGCGGTGTGACGGTACTTGCCTGGAAACCCAGCACAGGGGAGGCTGAAGCAGGAGGATTGAGTTGAAGGCCGGCCTAGGCTGCATAGTGAGAATCTGTGTCAGAAAACAAAAGAGAAAAAAATACCACAAATTGCCCAAACTCACTCAAGAAGTAGATGGGAAAGATGGGCCATGGGCTGTGTGCTCAGCAGTAACTGGTGAAAAAGAGGAACACTAAGAAAAGACCAGAATTCCGCCTTGGCCAGCAGAAAAGCACAGAGTAAGCCCTTGGAAAAAGCTGCACATGACTAGAACATGAACCATGTCCAAGAGGAGTGGACTTGCTTGTTGGTAAGCTCTAGGAATTCTGAACCCTAACAATGATGTGGCTACAAGTCCCTGGCCTAGGCCCTGCCATTAAATAAGGCACTATTTGCCACTAAATAAGGCTAGTCCTAAGGCTGACTCATCCTAAAGGTAAGCCTGATTGGATTTCAGGGTTTCTACTTCAGTATAGGGTCACCCAGTAATTTTCTTGACTAGCTTTATGATGTCATAGGTGACTGCAGCCTAGTATTAATTGCTGTGGTGGTTTGAAAGAAAATGGCCCCTATAGGGAATAGGACTATTAGGAGGTGTGGCCTTGTTGGAGGAAGTGTGTCACTGTGGGTGTGGGCTTTGAGGTCTCCTATGCTCAAGCTACTCCCAGTGAGACAGTCTACTTCCTATTGCCTGCATATCAGCATGTAACAGCTCCTCTCCAGCACCATGTCTGCCTGTGTGCCGCCATGCTCCTCACCATGATGACAATGGACTGAACCTCTGAAACTGTAAGCTGCCACCTCAATGAAATGTTTTCCTTTATAAGAGTTGCCGTGGTCACGGTGTCTCTTCACAGTAAGAGAAACCCTAACTAAGGCAACTGTTTTCTGTACTAACTGAATAATACATATTGATATATAATACTATTATATACATAACTCTCTACAAATATTATATGTAATTATTACAGTGATCCTAAAGATAGTCAATAATTTTCAAAACCAGTAATCTAAATAATGGGGGAAGATATAACGAAGGACAAAGTGACCCATGTAATCTGAGCACTTTGGAGGTACAAGCAGGAGGATCAGGAATGAAGATCATTTTCCACTAAGTACCCCATTCAAAGCCTGTGCTACAAGAGAGACCGTCAAAACAAACAAAAATAAACAAAGAGTTAAAATAAGAGAAGAGAGGTTAGAGAGACAGCTAAGAGCACTGGTTGCTCCTCCAGAGGCTAGGGTTCTATTCCCAGCACCCACATGGTAGCTCACAACCACCTGTAACTCCAGTTCCAAGTGATTCCTGTTCTGGCCTCTATATACACCAGGCACACAAATGATACACAAACAGGCAAAACACTCACATACAGAAAATAAAACTTATAAAAATGAGAAGACACAGAAAAACCCACATGATACAGGAGTATCATACATGGAGTGATGCATTGATATGCCAAGGAACACTAAGGATTGTTGGGGGGAAAATCCAAAAGAGAGTGAGAGATGGCTCAGAGAGTAAGGCATCTGCCACCAAACTTGATGACCCAAGTTCTATCCCTGGGACCCATGTGGTAGAAGAAGAAAACTATCCAAAGCTGTCCTCGAACCTCCACAGGCAGGCCATGGCAGCTCCACCCATGCCCCACCCTCTACCCCACAAAAATAATGGAAAATATAAAAATTAAAAGAAACAAACAAAAAATGCCAGGCCTGGTAGCACATAGTTTTAATCCCAGAACTTGGGAACCAAGAGCAGACAGATCTCTATGAGTTCCAGGCCAGCCTGTTTTACATAGTGAGCTCCAGGCCAGCCTAGTCTACAGAGTAAGACCCCCATCTCTCTCTCTGTTACTTACACATACACACACACACACACACACACACACACACACACACACACACACACACACACGATGATAGGTGGGAAGGGATAAGTCAGGAAGAGCATAGCTCTGCTGACAACTTTCAAACATTAGCCTCCAAATCTGAACCTTGCTGTTGTTTGTTTTTACTCTTTGGGCTCTTTTGTGGCCCGCCACCCAGCTCCCAAATAAACACACACACAGAGAGAGAGACTTATTACTTATAAATGCCCGGCCTTAGCTTGGGTTGTTTCTAACCAGCTTTTCTTAAATTGTTCCATCTACCTTTTGCCTCTGGGCTTTTTCCTTTCTCTATTTCTGTATATCTTCCTTTCAATCTTACTCCATGGCTGGCTGGGTGGCTGGGTGGCTGGCTCCTGATGTCCTCCTCCTCCTTGATCCCTCTTGCTCTTCTTTCTTTCTCGTCCCAGATTTCTCCTCCTATTTATTCTCTGCCCGCCAGCCCTGCCAATCCTTTCTCCTGCCTCACTATTGGCTGTTCACCTCTTTATTAGACCATCAGATGTTTTAGACAGGCACAGTAACACAGCTTCACAGTTAAACAAATGCAATAAAAGAATGCAATACATCACACCTGTGCATCATTAAACAAATGTTCACAGCACAAACAAATGTAACACATCTTAAAATAATATTGTACAACGTTACCTATTAATTTTGGTTGCTTAAAGCTACCCAGGTTGTGGTATATTTCTATAGCAGCTTTAGCATGCTAGTATACCAGTGGATTCCAAGTGTCAAGTGCCCAGCATACAACAGGAGCTCAGGAAATGAAATATTTGCTGAATAAATGAGTGGACTTTATAATAAATGAGTGGATTTCCTGTGGTATTGGGTGCCTGGAGGTGACCACTCTTACCTTTTATACACACCTTGGAATTCTTTCCTTTTTAAAAATGTGTATGCATATTAGTGCTTTACCTGCATGCATGTCTGAAGAAGAGGGCATCAGATCCTCTGGAATTGGAGTTACAGATGGTTGTGGAAATTGAATCTGGGCTCTCTGGAAGAGTAGCCAGTACTCTTACTGCAGAAACATCACTCCAGCCCCTCTTTCCTTTCTTAAAACTCTGCATTATTAGGTTCTCCTGGTTCTGTCCAATTCTTTGTAAATCTCAGTCTTCTTTCTTTCTCTCCCATCTGCTTTCTCTTGTATGTATGTATGTATGTATGTATGTATGTATGTATGTAAAGGGTCTCATGTAAGCCTAGGCTATACATAGCTGAGGATGACCTTGAACTTCTAATCCTCCTGCCCCTACCTCCTAGAGCTGAGATTACAAGTGTGCACTACTATCCCTGTTATGTGCAGTACCAAGAACTGCAAGTACTCTACCAACTGAGTTATCAGCCTTATGCCTTGCTCCACACATTCAATGTAACTTTATCCTCCCCCATTTTTATTTATTTATTTGTTTGTTTGAGACAGGGTTTCTCTGTGTAGCTTTGCACCTTTCCTGGAACTCACTGGCCTCGAACTCAGAGAGATCCGCCTGCCTCTGCCTCCCGAGTGCTGGGATTAAAGGCGTGAGCCACTACCACCTGGCTGTGACCTCCCCCATTTTTAACTACCCATATACACCAAGGATTCCTCAATTTAAAAACACACATATGTAACTCCCTCCTTATAAAATGGAACTAAGAAGCCGGGCGGTGGTGGCGCACGCCTTTAATCCCAGCACTCCGGAGGCAGAGCCAGGTAGATCTCTGTGAGTTCGAGGCCAGCCTGGGCTACAAAGTGAGTCCCAGGAAAGGCGCAAAGCTACACAGAGAAACCCTGTCTCGAAAAACAAAAACAAACAAATAAAAAAAAAAAAACAAAATGGAACTAAGGAGGCTAGAGAGATAGCTCAGTGATTAAGAGTATGATGCTCTTGCAGAAGACTCAAGTTTGGTTCCCAAGGCCAACATTAGGTGGCTGACAACCACCTGCAACTCCAGCTCCAGGAGATCAAACATCTTCTCCCCACCTCTACCGGCACCTGCACTCACATGCACATACCAACTCTCTCTCTCTCTCTCTTTCTCTCTCTCTCTCTCAAAAATAAAAATAAATCTTTAAAAATGGAAATAAGGCTGAGGAGACAGATCACAGTCTGTAAAGCACCTGCCTTGCAAGCAAGCAGGAGGATCTGAGTTTGATTCCCTGGAACCTAACTACATGCTAGGTATGGTGGTGCCCTTGTAATGCCAGCACTGGAGAAGTAAGAGTCAGGCAGTTCTATCGGGCTCACTGGAGAGCCAACCTAGACTACTTAGCAAGTTCTAGGCCGGTAAGAGAGACACTTTCTTTAAAAAAAAAAAAAGTGGAAGGCACTCAAGGTTATCCTCTGTCCTCCACATGCACACACACACACACACACACACACACACACACACACACACACACGAAACATCCAACACATACACAAACACAAATACAAAGAAATAGCTTTTTACTTCCTTCAAATAAAGCATTTCACTGTCCTCACCACAGTATGCACGGAGCTTTTTCTGCAAAACAGTAACCCATGCTCTGGCCACAAAAGGCTATTGCAATTTCCCAAGCACATCATGTTTGATGCTCTTAATGCTCCCAGGTTCATTCTACCTGGACTGTTCCTCATCGTCCTCCAAAAACTGGCAAAGTCCTAGTTCAAGCCAAGCAAAAATTCCACTTCTTTCAGAGCCTTTCCTGACCACAACACAGGCACCTTTGTTCACAGCACCAGCATTTCTTTCTATCACAAGTCAGTTTCCTCACTGACTTCTTTAATAACAACTGTGCCTTATTCATTCACAGATTTGGTACCTAGCTCAGTACCTGGCACATGGCATGCATAAGATTATAGACAGGGGATGTAACTCCAGGAGAGTGCTCACCCAGCAAGACCAAGGCCCTTGGTTCTTTCCCCAGCCCTGCAAATAATACCAATAACAACATCAAAAGTTGCAGGTTGTGCGAACTCATTCAAACCTGTAACTGAACCATCACAGCTATCAAATGCCAAGAGAAACTATTTCTCAAAGTACATTTATCAAAGTACCATTTCAACAAAGTACAATAAAGAATTTGCTGCATTAACGTAAGTTAGAATACTAGCAAAGTATCAGGCCTAACTATGTGAGCTGCTCAACCACTACACAGACTAATTTACATTCTTCAGAAACAGACCTCAACACAGCAGCGAACTAAACAGAGCATCAAGCCCTTACCTCCGAAGATAGGTAGTCTCCTCATCTTCTGTGTTACAAAACTTATGAGCATGTTTGGCAGCATCAATCACGCGAGACCGGTCCCGGGGTCTCATGGGCAATTTCTCTAACTGACAATCTAAAGGAATGAAGAAAGATTTCGTCGCTTAGAATCACTGAAAAATATCCTGAGCCTAGAGTGGTGGTGCACGCCTGTAATGCAGGAGGATCACCGGCAAGTTCAAGGCTAGTCTAAGCTACATCATGAATTCAAGTTCAGCCTGAGCAACTTAATGAGATCTTGTCTTTAAAAAAAAAAAAAAAAAAAAAAAGCCGGGCATCTGGCTGCAGCCGCCGTTTTCGGCCACTCACCCAGCACCAGGACCATCTGGCCGCACAAACAGTAGTAAACATGGAGGGGCTTCTCGCCGTCATCATATTCCTCGCGGTCCCGGGTGTCGGAGCAAACCACCGACCGGGACACGACTTTCGGCATAGCTAAGGCAGAGCAGTCAGAAAAGTCCAAGGAAATGAAGAGTCGCGCCGAGATGGCGTCATAGACGCACGTGCAGGACCGGCTCTCCACCCTAGTCACGTGTTGGTACCGGCCTGATTAACTTCCGGAACGTCCCATCTCGCTACGATGTGGGGGGAGGTGGGGGTAGAGTGCTTTTTATTTATTAGTGCGCTTGTGTGTGTGTGTGTGTGTGT